GTGGGTGTGGATGTGGGTGTGGGTGTGCGATGTGGGGTGTGGGTGTGAGTTCTGTTGAAGAGAAGATCCATACCTACAGCCACACCCACACCCACAGCCACCCACATCCATATCCACACGCACAACCACCCACATCCATATCCACACGCACAGCCACCCACACCCACACCCACAGCCACCCACAGCCACAGCCACACTCACACCCACACCCCACTAATAAGTTTGCTAATTACTTTTTAGACTGCGAACAAACTTTCCTTTGCATCTTAAAAAATAAATTTTCTACAGAAGAAAAAGAATTGTTAATACGTTCTATGTGAATAAGAGTATAGGTACAGAAGAAAATAATACAGGATTATTAATCTGATTGTCTAAACAAATGATCAAGGTCCTATGAAATACTACATTCATTTTCATTTGATCTAAAATCTTGTTGAATCTATCCAGAACGCTATTTAAAAAAACAGATTGGTTGTTATTTTACTGCCAAAGCCTCTTGGTGTATCAATGGTTTTTTTCTTCAATGTAAGTTAGTAGAAATGAGAAGTTCTCTACCTAGATCTTTCTGACGGCACACGAAGAAACAAAAGTACGTCGAATAACAATCTTATTAAAGTCGCATTTTTTTCCTTGGTTTCAATTTTTCCAATTTAGCAAGCAAAAATATATAATTGAGAAAGATACTCACAACATGACGAATGCAAATATCAACGATCAACATATTATATGACGATTGTAACTATCAAAACGATTTTTTTTCTCTTTCCATCAATAACTTAAGAAGTACAAAAAAAAGAAAGCCAGTCTCTCTCTTCACAATAATGACGTCTCGAATGTTTTTTTTAAAGAGCACATTGATATATATGAAATTCACGGTTAATAAGAATGCGAAAGAAAATATGAAGTTTTATTTACGAAATAATACAAGCCGACGATTGGCGCTGACGTTGCTGTTGCTGGTCTGATAAACGTTTAGCCAACCGTTGCATCGGTTCAAGATAGTAAAAACGCATCCATGACATTTTGTACGTCATAATCTTGTTCACTTGTCGAGCACGACCAGCAACCACAATAGTTGAAACGGCGAGAAATTGATGACGAATTTGACTAATTTCGTAGAATTTATTCGATGAATTTTGACACAGTGCATCACTTTGAAAGAAGACTTTATTATTGAAGACATCTGGACTGAAAGCATAGCAAAGAACAAGCAGCTTTTTTTGTTCATCTACTGACAAACTTGACCAATTGTTATAATTAGTTAGACGACGTATATTTGGATCATCATTACAATCTATTGAGAAACAAACACAATTAAGATAGTACATCAATCTAGCCACATCATTGTCAGGCACTGTCACATTGCGACCAATATCCTTGATACCAATTTCGTTTCTCTGAAGAAGAGCCATCTTTGATGTGTTGTTTCAGGAAAAGCTTTACTCAACACTCTGAAGGATTTGAAATGGCATTGAATACGATACAGTGCGCTGTTTATATAGCATCGTCAGAGTAAGTTGGAAAGAATTGTTGAAAAATATTTTAAATAACACGAGTGCAGAACAAATAAAGAAAAGAACAGTGTGCGTGTTTGTTCACTTCCGAGCCATTCACACGCGTAGCGGTGACATATTTCTGATTCATCGGATTTTTTCCAAGGAAGTGCAACCAAAAAATTAACAAATCGTTCTTTTATTTTTCACTATTTTATCGGCATAACTTTCGGAATGCATTAGTTGGCTTTTTCCTGTAGCTTCAACTATGAATATTGGTGAGTTCGAGAGAAAACAGATCATTGCTATGCTTGAATAGACTTGACGATTACTAGAAAAGTTGACGCTATCGTTAGCAAAAATTTTTTGAACGTTTCTTCGTATATCACTTATAAATAAGCTTCATTTCTGAATTTGCTTTGAAACTTGCTGTACTACACTACTGACCAAAAGTCCAGACGCCTCTAGAAAACTTTAATATTCCAAACTATTTACTTGAAATTTTGACTGCAGGCGTGTAGTGAGAAACAGTGATTGCAGATATCGGCTCTAGATTAATCCAATGCCATTGGAGAACGTTATACGTCAAATACAATCTTTATTTTTGTATTGTTTATATTACGCCTATACAGGCACTTCGGATTTCATGAAACCCATCATTTGAAAGCCAAAATTTTGAGAGTTATTTCATGAAGTTCGCTTTACAAAAGTCTTCCATAGTACTTTTATATTACTCTATCCCTATGTAAATTACATTTAGATTGGCCGATTCACTTGAAATTTTTTTCTCAGTTACTTGTAGGCCCATGACTGTTTCTCAAAACTTTCATAACGAAGGCTTCTACCAAAATAGCAATATGCTGACATAATGATGGGTTCGATCTGTGATTATATGGATATGATGGAAACGATTACCCACATCCATACCCCACAATTTATATACATATGATTCCATACAAAATATAGGAATCGAATATAGATCTATTTTAAATCATGAAGCTTTAGAACTGACGTGTTAGCGAAGGAACCGGAAAACAACAAATATTTTAGTAACATTAGACACTATTGTGATATCATAATGTCAATCATCAAAATTATCGAAGAAAGCTGTTTTCACTTTTATGGGCGTGGGTGTGGGTGGTGTGGGTGGTGTGGGTGAGTGTGGGTGAGTGTGAGTGGTGTGGGTGTGGGTGTGGGTAGGCGTGGGTGTAGACCTTCTCCTTAGTCACACCCACACGCCAACCCGCACACACACCCACACGCCAACCCGCAC